CAACCAGGAATCTGAGTCTGATAACCAGGGCTATGGTGATCTGACCCGCCTACGCAAGTCCGCTTATGGCGGTGGCAGCTCCGGCGGCGCAGCCAGTGTGCCAGCTCCTCCCTGCCCCAAGAACTACCTGTTCAGCTGCCAGCCCAACCTGGCGCCAGTGCCATGCAGCTCTCCATCTCAGGGGTACGGATCTGCCGGTGCCTACTCCTCGCCCGTGGCCAGCTACCTTGACCCCAACTATGCCGTGCCCCAGTATCAACAGAATCTCTATGGCGCTGCCTACTTGCCCCAGGCCTACGGCTACGGTTACTAGAAGATCACATGAAGAATCTGAGGACTTGAGCTGTCGAGAAACCAAAATCTTAGCCATGCATAAAGAAATTTTCTAAAAAATTGCAAATAAACTGATAAACAATCGAAAAATGTTATTTATTCATTTTGATTTTATCTGTTGGTGGTAAATTTTTAAGCGAAGGGGATTTATTTTTATGGAATTTCTAAGGAATTTTTACTGCAACTGTTCGGGTGAATAGTTTTTAGTCTTCTATTAAACATAAATCATTTAGGGGTTTCATTTAGGACCGCTGGTCAGATTTGTTGTAGATGAGTTCTCTAACTGGACCATGTAAATGCGTTGGATAATTATCCAATTTTAAGATGAGTCATTTAATTATAGCAAGGTCTTTTTAACAGAAAAATATATGCCAAATCAAATTCAGTAAACTAGTTATGTATACTTTAGGAATTAAGAATAAGCTAAACAATATTTAAGAAGGCGCAAGTCGAGACTGCTCGACTAGGAGATACCCTGAACCCTCTATGCTGATATTCTACTCATACTGCACTTTCTTTTATATGCATACACACGTATTCACACGCACGTATAATCAAGCGCTCTGCTGACTGCGCAGTTAGCAGCGACTGTGCTTGGGCTGCGCTGCAGTGTGGGCAATATTATGAGAATTTATTTGTTAAATAGTTTCCTTTGTATGATCGGAAAATTAAGATAAACTTGTACTGCGTATAGTACACACGATTATGCATGTCAAATTTAAGCTCTCTAGCTCTTATAACTTCTGAGATCGACGCACTCATACGGACG